ACCATCGAACCGCACATGAGGAATATTCTTTATTCGATCGTAGAATAAGAAATAAAATGCCCGGTTTTAAATAACCTGCAACGTGTTGATAATCCGTTAAAAACAACTGAAGGAATTAATCTTCACCGATGGTCGATATAAGCGGATAATGATAATCTATACGGATAACACTATAATAGTAAATAAAGCAAGTTCATATGTTACTGTCTTAAACAAAACGAGTGCATATGTTTTCTTATACAACGAGTGCATCTCTTGCTGTCAGCTGGGCATATTATGAAGGCGTCAGAAAAAACCGATTCAGTAAAGGAAATTTAAAATTAATTGATCGTAATTATCTAGAAGTCCAAGTAAAATATATGATGCGTCCTGGGTATGACGATAAACTACATACGGCAGCAAGGCCTCTTTTCATAGGGTTGAGGAGAACGATCTCTTAATTGCTGATATTCAGAGGTCCGCTTTGACCCATGGTTGTAGCACCTGTTAGAGTTCCCGGTATGGGAAAATTGAGAAACTCCAACTGGTTTGAAAAACACTCTTTTAATATAAAAATACGTTTTTTTATAGTAAAAGTACTCGAAATAGATGTTAATAGTAAAAAATATTATCAAAACTCCCAAGAAAATTATTTGTTGGTATTAATAACCCATAAGGAGTTTGTATGCCGTTAAGCAACCCAACCGCCCAAACAAGCTAAAATATAGTGATTTTCCAAGCGTAATTTGGATGTGGCACAAGGCCGAAAGTGAGGGGTGCCCACTGAAAATTGAACTCACTACTCAGTCGTAATTGTTCTAGCGAGACAAGCTTGCTAACCATTACACCACCAAACAAGCTAAGATACATAATGCAAAGTAAAATGCGTAAATTTCTTTTTGGAGGAATTTCTAAGGCATGGCTTATTATCTCTCAGTTGCGTCTCTGTCTTTGGGCAGAGTGTGCTTAGGGGTTTCTCTGTCAAAGGTCAGAGGGGCAACTGAGAAAAGTATACTGAGAGGTTACGGGGGCTGTGGGCAAATTTTGTCCTTAAGCCGGGCGTACGTGCTCGGGTCCCCACCTAAAAACAGAGCTTGTGTCACGTCTTGTCTTAGTGGGGGGACAGAATAAAAACCGTGCAAAGATTAATTGGATGTCTTTGGATGTGATGTCATTTCTTTATTTAACACCTTGGCTCCCACATAACTCACCGGAGGGTCAGGGTGGTATGTTTGCAAGGGTCACGTGGCCCTTTGGTGAATCGCTTTGCAATTTCTTTTCTATGAGGATTATTGCGAGTCGAATGCCATGATTTGCTGCTTATGTGATCATGGTACCACAAAAAAATTAAATATATTTATTTTTTTTATTTTTTTTATTTCGTTTTTCCTTTTGGAATTTCTACTGTTGTACTTTGGACCATTTTTTATTATTATTTCATGTGCAGAACTATACCATGCATTCGTGTAGCTCAATGTGGGAATCTGGATTGTAAAATAGACTTAGATACAGAACGACACACCGGTGCATCATGGGTAAGAAATACTACTTATGGTATCCTAGCCTCATATATGAAACACTTTAACAAAGTCTCTTGTACTAAAATTTATTGATATACGGACACAACAAGGGAAATGGGGCTTTGGGAGCCAGCATATTAAAATCATAAATATGATACCTTTGATTAAAAGCCGTTCTTGGGTGAAGTAACAAGATAGAATGATTTTGATATCGAAGAACTGGGTTCGAATTTCAGTCGGATCCGTTGCATTCACTTACGCGTTAGCACTCATGGAGAATATATGAATCTATCTTTTTTCCCCACCTATGGGTTGCATAGAAGGACAGGGCGGAAATTATAGCCTTGGTTGGAAACCAGTCGATCACAGAAAGACATGAAGGCCTACCACGGCAAATCTACTGTCTAGGCAGCCATGAACCGAAAGTGACTTGATAAGCCAAAAATAATCAAAATCATACCATTGATCTCCATGTAATACCTTTTGGCGTTTTCACTGATTTAAAAGAAAATACATTTGTGTATAGTAAATTCAATCTTTGCTAGGCCCCCTGATAAATATGGCCTCGTATAAAATTATACTAAGGTAAATTAGCAATTAGCATACAGGAATTAGTAGAAATTTATAAAATCTTTTACTTCATCGTGGGTATGACGATAAATTACATCCGCCAGCAAGGCCTCTGATTGGGAGATTGTCAGTTTTGAAGAGCGTGGAATCACCTCAGAATTAGTGTTGTTCCCAGGTCAACCCTGATCCGGGGGTGGGTGTAGCACCTGTTAGGGTCTTAGCTATAATAGTGAACCCCCTAAACAAAAATCAACAGTATATTTTTATAACAAAATGAGCAACAATACATGTTTATAGCAAAATGACAGACAATACAATACTAAATATAAAAATACATTATTATAGTAACAATATCAATAATACATTTTATAGACAATAAACTATATATATATATATATATATATATATATATATATATATATATATATATATATATATATATATATATATATATATAAACATGCCTTTACCCTGTAAGTAAAACATTATCTAAAAATATCAGTTGTTGAAAGCGTAAAATAACATACAACATATAAATTATATTGCTCGTTTTTTTTTTTGTTTCTTATTTTATTTATTTATTAACGTAGTAAAAATTTGTTTATATCACTTATTTAACAGTTTTGTTTTGGTTTGAGAATTTAATTAAAGCTATTTGTTCAATTTTGGGGTTGGTTGTTGTAGTTCATTCTAACTATTATTTTTTTGGCGGGAACAGTTTTTAATTTGGGATTGGTTTGTCTATTTATTTAATTTGACCCAAATAAATAAACAAAGCGACTTCCGGTAAAAATGACCGCCATAATAGAATACCCACAATGCACCACTAACCCGTATATATATAAATAGCCGAGAAAAATAACAGCATATGTGGCCTGACGATTGCATATAGCATGAAACAGACTGTCGCCTCTAAGTGTTGACTTCTATGTTCACTTTTATATTTATATATATATATATATATATATATATATATATATATTGGTGGCACAAAAAAATTTTTCAAGATGTTCCCGGCATATTGACACAATATGTACCACACGACGTAATCCAAGGTCTAAATGCCTAGGAATTTGAATTAAAGTGTCGAATATTTATGAGCATCTTTAAATCTAAAACTACCTTTTTAAGTGGCTATGTGACGTAAGCTAGGTTCTAATAACTAATCATTTGAGTTAACCTGTGGAATATTTATGAGTGGTTATAATTTAAAAAAAAACAAAAAAAAAAAGAGTAACTATTAAATATATACTTGCTACAAAACCATGACATTTCCCTTGATGAATCCATCAGATGACAAAAGTGTCGGCGAAAAATTAAGTATAGATTTCTCTTGTCTTTTCATTCATTTTGTCTCTTCTATAGATATACTCCATCTGAGAATATTTACACACACTTATATATATATATATATATATATATATATATATATATATATATATATAGATAGATAGATAGATAGATAGATAGATAGATATGTATGTATGTATGTATGTATGTATGTATGTATGCTAGCTGAAGTTCCTGGTATTGTCCAGATCTACATGGCTACAGTTGTATAACTGCACCCTCTGTATACCCAAACCCCTATCTGAAATGTCTGCCTCTGTCCCCACTTGCATGTATCATCCGTTGGTATACTAAGCTACCCCTCACCTTTTTTACGGTATGCCCTTCGCAAGTGTTTGATTGTTTTAAATTAATTCCATCGATACATACTTCTGATGTGGTCTTTGCCCTGGGCGAAATTGTTTCAATGTTTTAGATATTCAGTAGATTTCTGGTGGCCGTAAGAACTTTCAAATAGTATGGCATTGTTCACAAACCTAATATTCAGACAAAAACACCGATGAAGCGTCAGAGCTTGATTTAAATGTAAGTGCAAATAGATGAACGCCCCACTTCTTCCTCGCACGTTTACCGTAAATAAGAGGTTATTCAGGATTTGTCCTTTTTAACGCTTCAATAATCCTTATCAAACAATCTTTAAACCAATGGTTGTTCGAGTGCCAACTCAGTATGGAATCATTTGAAGAAAGTATTGGCTAAATAGCAAAAGCCGATTTTAGACTAGTTCGGCTACTTAACAGAAATAATCTAAACCAAGCATTCACGCAAGACAATTTGTGTGTTATAGGTAATTTTCATGGAAAATTTGTAAATCATCGGATGAAAAACCAGGGAGTTATAGCCGAAAAACGGGTCAATTGAACAATTTTTCGTTATACGCGGAGAAGCGAGCAGGACGAAAAAAAAAAAAGACTGTCTTGTTTCTTGTATGATGGCAAAGCTTTTGCGATATATTTGAAGAAAATGAGAGAAAAATGAGGCTATTAAAGTTTTTATTTTAAGTGGTACCAAAAACCCGATTTTTTAACAGTTTTTTTGCAATTTTTGGTGTGACGCCAATGTCACAGAAAATCTGTCAAGCAATATACATAAACCTCGTAACGTAAGCTATGTTTTGCTTTAAGTGCAAAGGAAATCAGCTTATACAGTTAAAATTTTGTTTGCCTGTAACTTTGCCTTGGTTTTTGCAAAAAGACTTATTCACCTTCAGTTTTATCGATTTTTTTCTGGCAAACCGGGGTGGTGGGGATGGCGATTGAAAGAAAATGGTCTTGACCTCTGTGTGTACAATTTTATCGAAATCGGTCGAGAAATGTGGACGTGCATAAATAGCATAAACACGCACAGACAGACACGCACACACAGACGCCTTATGTCTTATATATATATATATATATATATATATATATATATATATATATATATATATGCATGCATGCCTCTATCCGTTTCAAAACATTTGATGATTTCTCATGCTAACTTGAATAGAGACAGGCGCTCAGCACTTGAAAGATTGACATAAACATAATCTTTCCTTTCTATCTTCCACTATTCGACTTTACCAGGCTTAAGTTGATATCACATTAAAACACCGGATCTCGTACGATCATAGAAGTTAAACAACGTCGAGCCTGGTCAGTAGCTAGATGGGTGACCGTTAGGGAATACCGTGCGGTGTAAACTTGGATGTGCATTTGGTGTAATGGATAACGACACAGAATTGCAAATTGGAGAGCCGAACTCGAATTGCGGTCTGGTTCGCTTACGCGGAAATACCCTTGGAGAAGGTATGAATCCATTTCTACTTCCCCAGCTATGGGTTAATTAAAATGCTTTGTATCAGTACATCATTATTATCTTCAGAAAATTCATGCAATCTAAAAATTTTCTGATTTTAAATAACCCGTGAAAAAATCAATCTATCTGCAGTACTATGTTTAAAATGAATACTTCAAAATATATCCCGTTTCATGTTAATTTTAAATAAAGCATTCTGATAAGATTGAAACCAAAGTATTGGCGCAGCACAATCTTTATACTTTTTTTCCTTGATGACACCTTGTTCTATATTAAACTAAACTAAGTAGCATCAAGATTATATCGCTGAAATGTGATACTGGAAATGTATTTCTCCTTAGTGTATTAATTAAAACCATAGTTTAACGGAGCCATGTGGATATATTTGCGAGGGAACCATTTTGCGGTGTTGGCTTATTCTAAAATGACTAAATATAACTTTTAACGCCTTGAAATGGGAATCACTTTTTGAGCGCAGCTGTGTGAGAATGCATTCACGTTTATGCTTTTCTGTCGTCACCATCGTCCCTTGTTTTGTGATGGGAAATATTCATTTTATTTCCATTTTCATGAATATAACAGCTCGAAAAAATATTTTTCATTCTAATGGGCTTTTGTTTCTATTTTTGTGTTATTATCAGTGAATTCACACATTCGTCTGTGAGCTCATAAGTAAAAATGGACGTTTACTGACGGAAGACAAACTTAATTAGTTATGTTTCTGCATACAGGTGTCATATCAGTAGAAGGGACTTGTAACAATATCAGAAGAATATTTTGTAAAAAAATAATAAATGGTTGTGTGAGGAAGAAAAGAAGGAAAAGAAAATGGTGTAAAAAAGCCATGAGCAGAGAGGGAGAGAGAGAGAAAGAAAGAGAGAGATGGAAGAGAGAGAGAGAGAGATGAAAAAGAGAGATAGAGTATCAGGAAAAGCTGTAGAGAGAGAAAATGTTGAGGTAGCGAAGGAGATGTAATACAAAATGAGTGAGGTGGGTGTAAGAAAGCAAATAATCCTGGCCGCCAACCGTAGCGCTTATGATGATGATAGCTAACACCTTCATAACCAGGAAAGTGACAGTTGGATCAGCGTGAACAATGCGGATTCACCACTTAGTCTCTGATGGTTCTGGAGGGGGGGGGGTTCAGGAATATGAAATATGTCAAGCTACTTCACCTCTTCCGCATGACCTCAGGGTCATTGACACCACCTGTATCAAAGTAATAAAGGCGGCGGTCAAACCCGTGTCTATGTCATGACCGTACTTATCTCAGCAGGACCCCGTTTCCTCCCAAATGGTCCCTTTTAATATCACTGGATGGATAAGAATTACGATTATTTCACACAGGTTTCCTACTTCTAGTTTGAACCCTCTGGATTCCTAAGGCAGGTGATGCTGTCGAGAGGAGAACAAATAGTGGCTTCCCAATAGTAAGAACTTCTTGAAGACTGCCATACTTGTAAACTGCCATATTAGTGAATATCGGGGTTTTATAACTAGTGTATGAAGTTAGCAGTTAAATGGTCGCACAACTATGTTCGCCAAATTAGTAATAAACGTGAAAAGTAATTTTTTAAAGGATAGTTTTAATGCATATTAAATTGATCATATACAAATCTATCTACATTGATCATATACAAATCTATATAGATGATATTAAACTAATTTAGTTTATATAAATAAATAATGTAAGATAAATAAAACAAATATAAAGATATTAAACAAGTATGATTATTCTTGAAGCGCTTTATAGATTTGTTCAGTCAGGTTCTCAGCAGTTTTTGCCACATTTTTCTGCAAGAAGCGTGAATACACACCTGGCACTGTCTTTTTTTTGTCATTGATTTATTTCCTCTGTTTTATGTGCAAGCAAATACTCCAGAAAATGGCGTAACCTTATGATTCCTAAAGTGTCAGATTAATGCTGTTTTTTCATTATTAATGTTGCCGATAAAATCTCCCTAATGACAAGAGAATTCTTAAGCTACGTTGACATAACATATTTTTATCTATTCTATTATAACAAAATGCACCCAAACTCTAACGATGAAAACAAAAACATATGCTTATATAAAAATTGCCGGTATATATTCGCTTATTAATTCGAATAAATGCCTTAGATTTCTGTTTTTCATAGAGAAATCTGTATATAAATCCAATTACAAGAGATCTCAAAAATCATATGCCACTTCTGAAAATTTAGTTTGTTTCTTTGGCTATGATTATACTCAGATATTTTATGAATAACTATGTTGATGACAACAGTATATAGGTGCATTCGAAAACACTGGAACAGTCATTGGTAACCTGCTTCTGCATGCCACATGTGGTTCATTTGCTCTCTCTGAAAGCCACGCTTATTTTCATAAGCAAACTTTTTTGAAAATATCGTTTTGTTTCGTTATCACTTGTTCACTCACTCATTCTCTCATACCTAAACAATGATTAAGTAAAATCTTTCTTGAATTTTGTAAAACTTCCGGGGAAACTAATGCGATTTTCACTAAGGAAGATCATAGGTGTAAAAATAATTTGCTTTTGAAACAGGAAACGTTCATAATAATTTTTTCTCTTGATGTTTTCATTTTTAAATGAATAAATTAGAAATAATTGCTACGTAGCGACATTTGATAATCAGACTATCATAAGTGATAATATTATATCATGAATTCAAATTTTCAATTATAAAACTATATTTTCTAAAAAAAATAAATATTTCCTACCATTTCTAAGGTACATGCTTATGCATATGGTCTTCTTTAGGGAACGTAGCCGAAGTACCTACTACGATAGTAATTACTATTAACGTGAAAATTTTAGTAGCGCCTTGTCGTGAGCCGTAGATCATGCGGCCTACTACTAGAAAAAGATTGATCATGCCTGATCTAGATAACCAGAATTTAGCATGGGATCTCTCCTTTGATCTATCCTCAACAGCTGTGTGAGGAACTGACGGCTTGCATTAGATGTGTCAAAAACTAACGTGTCGTTTCATTATCCCCAAGCTAACCCTGAACTTTCGCCTATCACGAGGGTGGGGGAGACTGTGCCTTTAACGCCTCTTGGGAGTTAAACTGAACCAAAATAGAACCTTTTACCGACGAGCATTGGCTGAAGTTGCGGGAAAAAATGATCAGTTCCCTGTATCGCTGCACAAGTACTTGACTCCTTCTGCTATCTTCTACCGTTGCAAGAGGCAGATCAGGTAGGAAATGGAGTACGACTGCAATATATGGGCTGGAGCTGCTCAGTCTTCACTTTGCACTCTCGATAGAGTTTAAAAGCGATACATCCTTGTGCGTTATGAATTATTTTCTACGCTACAACCCTTTTCTTATAGACGCAACGACGGGAGCCTCTATCTCTGTTTCCATGGAAAGTGCTCAGACGAACCACATTCCTTAGTTAGACCAGTTCTAACCTTCTCGACAAAGAACCACCATGCTACATACATTGTAGGAACCCAGCCTCATTTCTTTCGTATTCCATTAATGGAGATGTAAGTTACACTTAAGCAGTTTCTTCCCACGAATCGCTTCCCCGATCGCGCCCAGTTCTATTGCTAACAGTTATTTTCCTACATCCCATAAACTATACCTGTTACCCTGTAACCCTCTACCTCGAATGGCTATCGGAACTTGTACAGCGGGGGGGTATTATTGTAAAGATAGCATATCGATCAGAAACAACCAAAATACAATTATTAGATAATTAGACCACCCATAATTCCTCTGGGCTTCTTTTAAAAGCAGCCCATGATACAAAATGAGGCAACACTTATTAATTTTATTATTAACTAGCTTAAAAGAGGACCTATCGGGCGTCATTTAGACTACCTCCTGTGGAGGGTTCTTGATTGGGCCTCATCACAATAGGTAGGACTGAAGTAAATGTGATAGGCAACAATAAAGAACAGATCGCTGCATGTAAGTATTGCATTAATATTTAAGCTTACCCTTTAAAAGTTCAACGATAATTCTTTTGCCGCTACTTAATTTAAAGAGGATTTGATGTACTTTTCCGTACAAACAATTATTTTTATTTCATGGGTGACTTTCGATGGATATTAATTTCGATTATTTTCCTATTTATTTTCGAGTTATAAAATCTGTTATCGTACAAAAATGTTCATTGTATAAAATCACGTAAAAAATCCGCGAACAAAAATCACAGTAATGAAAACTTGGGAATCCAAAGATTGAAGATTCGACCCGAAATGTTTTTAATTTACTCACGGATTCGGCCTGATTCTAAAATGGTATGATATGTTGACCGACAGCCTCTAGGAGTAAAGTTGAAAGAGTGTGACACAATGACACACTGACATTCGTATTTATTATATAGAAGATGAGAAAATGATAAAATCAGATAATTATCATGTTTAGTTTTATTCTATGATGTATGGAAAAAATAGATTAAATTAAAATTAAGGAAAGCTTATTGTGATTTGAAGTTCCAACCTGGATTGCCCCACTATTTCACTTCTGGAATATAGTTTAAAATTTACTCGGAAATATAAAGGGAAGGCAGTTCCACAAATGTTTTTAATTTGCTCATGCTGTTGGCATGATTCCAAAATGGTATGATATGTTGGCCCACAGCCTCTCGGAGTAAAGTTGAAAAAGTGTGACATAGTAACTCACTGACATTCGCATTTATATAGATTTCACATTTTGATATGTGATTAAATATGAGAAAAGTAGGCTTATTATTCCACTGTGATTGGTGGTTAATACATCGCGTGGAAATTTCGAGTAATAGCTTAAAAAAGGTGTAGTTTTTGTTTCAAAATTATACCTATATATTTTTTAATAAACATAATTGCTTCTTCTTATTTCAAAATACAGCAGTAAATCAGTGTGTATCTATTTATTCATCATGG